AAGAGCGTCCTCTAGTGTTTAAGAACGGTATTTTCGGGGACATGGTATGAAAGTGAAAGTGATTTATTGTCATTGTGACACAGCACACCACTGCACACAACGAAATGTGACCTCTGACCTTAACCCATCACCTTACTAAACAGGGGGCAGCTCAAGCTGAGGGCCACGGGGCAGTGTGTGCCATGCTTATAGCAAGCCAGTGGCACCTGGTGAAATTGGACCTGCAACCTTCCAGACACAAGTCAGCTTCCTTAACCATATGCCTATTAAATTATAGAAGGAAAACTATTAAGTGACTTCAAGAGACTGACAGTGGAAAGTCTACATCAGTTGGGTCCTTATAACTGACAAAAATCTAGAAAACTGTGGACTTCATCTAGGAACAGCACCTGAAACTGGTTTTATGATCATCATTCTCTGGTGACCTGGCCCTGCTAACTCCTCACTGTTCAACACCACCCGTGTTTCTAATCCTCTCGTAATATTGGGGACTGCAGGTGATTTGAGGACCAGCAGTTCTTCTGACAAATTCCGAGGGAGTTCCAGATGAAGGGTTATCGACCTGACCCTGTACCTTGAGCTCTAGAAAGGTTGACCTCCATGCTGTCGATGATTAAACTCCAGGGATTGTAATCCAAATCGGTGAGCATAATCAATAGCTCCACAACTGTCACATGTAAGACCACAGCCTTTAACCATGACAAGCTTATTAGTCGCCCCTCACTGAGGGGGTCAATAATTAATAATTTATTTGAGCCTGTTTTATTATGAAAACAGATGCATCAGAAAATACCTGTCTGCCTTTATTGTGTCTACACATTCCATTAAAACTTCTCTATTCTGAACTTTCAGCAAAGCTCCTCAACATATATACATTTCAAAACATGTCTAATTATCTCATCAACTACCTTTGGTATCTTGACTAATATTGAATTACATTACTAAGATAAATAATTTTAAGTTATTTTACGCACCAAACATTTTTAGCTTCTATCACATCATGTGTCTCTGAATCTGCACCAAAATGTTTCAAAAACTTAAAAAAGCAGAGCAGTGTCATATTTATTAAAGAACATTTTCTTTACTTTTTGTGTTGTCTGTGACAATAAAAGTGACAAATCATGTTGGTATGCTACATCATGCATAGTGTCCACAGGTCTGAAAAGGAAAAGTGTGTCGGTATAAGACACTCAATCTGCTGCTTAAGTTTACAAGAGTTAAAAAATACACTCACTTTATTAGGTATGTCATTTTGGCTTTACTTCAGGACTACTTACATTAAAGTATGTGTGTACTTTGCGTTTGTTAGCGGTGCATCCACTGTAAGATGTAGCTAGAGTTTCCCAGAATTAGTGGACATGAGAGCAGAGGTGTAGTCTTCTGTTGGTCGACCTTTTACTTTAGGGTTGTTGAGTTACTGTAACCTCTTTTGACCTTTAGTGTCATAGTTCGTCTGCCCTGAAATCTGCTGAGAGCATTCTTTGTTTCTCAATTATTGACTTCAAACACCAGTCCAGACCAGTGTTTCCCTGTTTGCCTGTTTGAGTCACGGTACATGTTTTGCATATGAAAAACAAACACCACACAAAAGCTCTCCAAAAAAAAGTACATGGAATGAAATATAATTATCTATAAGTTTCGATTTAATCAAAATTCACTGACTCAGTATAGAACTTGGGCCTGTTTAGTTGAACACAACACTGATATATAGTCAGAAATTGACACAAAGATCGCCAACTGAGGTGCTCTCTTTTAGTTTTATAGTCATCTGCTGCTGCTGTTTTTAATTGTCAATGTCGCATTGACAAATAAAGTCAATGTATTAGCAATAGATAAAAAAAAGTTGTCAATTTTTGATAGCATACCTGATGTGTGTCTCATGACACACTAGTGGGCCACAGCACGGTGGTTGGGAATCACTAGTCTAGACCAAGCTTGTCTTGATGAGGTTCCAGTTGATTAACTGGTATCTGCATGTTCTATTCCATTAAACAAATTCCCAGTGAGTGTATACTCTTCACTTTTTGACATTGTACAAACTACTATTCCCTGCACAAAAGTGCATGAATAGGACAGATATTACTGTACATGGGATGTACATGGCCATGACATAGTACAGAAGCAATACACCAACAGCCTCTTTGTAACCATGTAATCATTTTTCTCTGGGCTTAGTGAGAAAGGTCACACTAACGCAAGCATAGTGTTTATTAGATAAACCTCATACAAACAACCCACTGTGGTATACTTTTCTTTGCTGATAGACCACACTGTCTCACAACAGAAAAATAAAAAAATATTAAGACAAACACTTAAATGTCAGGAAGGAAAGAGAGACGTTGGTACAACTAGGTTAGAGTGGATCAATTCATCAGTAACGTCGCTTTACAAAGGTGTAAATTGTCATGGTAAAATTATTCTATTCTCACACAATTACCTCTAAAAATATACCAGGCACGCACACACACATATACACACACATACATACATACAAACAAACACACTCTTCTGGCCAGCCTCAGTTTTCAATCTCATTGAAATACTCGGAGAAGCCTGAGTATGGGATGCCATCGCCAGGTTCTGGATACAGGATAGTACAAATGTTATAGTTTTCACACATGAAATTCGGAAATGTATAGCAATAATGCTCAAACAGTGATCATCGTCAAACCCTTACCTTCACATGGTCCTCGTTTAAACTGGATGTCATCAATAGCAATATCACTGCGCAGTGTTGGGCCTCGGATGGCTTCAAAGACAATCTGTCAGACACAGATGCCAAGCAGCATTGTAATACATGAGAGAAGTATTCCGATCTGCAGCTCACATCTTGCGACGATGATAATGATGGTGATTGTACTTTTTTTAAATATCATTTTAGCTCAATTTTAGCTATTATTGATCTTTAATCTTGCCTGGTCGAAGACAAAGAAGAAGAGGAGGACAATTGATTCAGACAAAAAGAGAAAAGAGGAAGAACAGAAGTGTTGGTCTGAAGTTTGGAACTCTGAATGTAGGTACAATTACAGGGAAAAGTAGAGAACTAGCTGATATGATGGAGAGAAGAAGAATAGACATTTTGTGTGTGCAGGAGACCAGGTGGAAGGGCAGTAAGGCTAGAAACATTGGAGGAGGCTACAAACTGTTTCATCATGGTTCAGATGGGAAGAGAAATGGAGTAGGGCTGATCCTAAAGGAAGAATATGTAAGAAATGTGGTGGAGGAGAAACGAGAGTCAGACAGGTTGGTGTGTGTGAAGGTAGAAATAGAAGGAGTGATGATAAATGTTGTCAGTGGTTATGCCCCACAGGTGGGCTGTGAGTTAGAAGAAAAGGAGAAGTTCTGGACTGAGCTGGATTGGATGATAGAGAGGATATCCCCAATGGGGAAATGGCTGTGGTAAACACCTATTTCCAAAAGATAGAGGAACACAGGGTGACGTACAAGAGTGGAGGCAGGTCCACACAGATGGATTATATTCTATGTAGAAGATGTAGTCTGAGGGAGATTAGAGACTTTAAGGTGGTGGCAGGTGAGAGTGTAGCCAAACAACATTGCATGGTAGTGTGCAAGATGACGATGGAGGTGACAAAAAGGAAGAGAGGGAAGACAGAGCAGAAGATCAAGTGGTGGAAACTAAGGAAAGAGACATGTTGTGAAGACTTCAGGAAGGAAGTAAGGGCAGTTCTGGG